GCAGCCTGGCCATCAGGCCTGGTACAAAGCTTGCTGCAGGGAACCAGAGCACACCGGCTGCCTCGCTTTGAAGGGGGCGGGTTACGCAAAGGCCCCAGCAGCCTCTGCAGGTTACACACTCCAAACGTCTGGAGGGGAAGCAGGTGCATCCAGCCCAAGGAGCTGGCTCTGGTGTCCCGTGGCTCTGAGTACCTACCTCAGTTCACCTAGCGTGGGGATCTTGCTATTTCAACTTACTCCTGGGATGATGCCAAGATATCATGGGTACAGGCAGTGCTTTATAAAGGGTGTCCCAAAATTCACGCAAGATTTGAATTTTGCGTGAGCATTAACAACAACAACAAAAAATAAAAGCCTAATTTTCCTTGGTTTATTGAATCAGATTCTAATATCTGTTGCCCTTTGATTTCAATCCCTTCAATTTGATAAGCATTACCAAGTACCAATTATGGCCCAGGAGCAGGGACAAAGAAGACCAATGAAGACCACGGCTTTGCCTATGTGCCAGCAAAGCCATGGAGGCCATTTACCTGATGTGCTATTCCATACATAACCCTATGCTGTATACTTTATGAATCAATAAAGAATTACAATTTTTAATTATAAACCTGTGTTTTCTATCAAAATTACTTCTTGCGTGAATTTTGGGACACCCTATACTTTCTCTTCTAAGCCCATTGATGCCGCCGCCCTTTATCCACATAATGTTCTCCTTTGCTTCACTCCCGACTCAAGGGCCCCTGGTGCTGTCCTCCCCTCCAGCAGCTGCCAGAGCAGTTTCTCTGAGACAAAGGAGTCGGACCCTCGGGGCCACACTGGCTCCTTTTCAGCTCTGCTGGCCTCTAACTCCTGGGACAAAAGCCAACAGCCCAGGCTCCCCCACCTCCCCCCAGGGCCTCCATTGGTGAGACTCTGTGGACCCCATTCAGTGCCCCCATGAACATGGTTTGGGAGGTAGGGGAGTTCATGCCTCGGGGGGCAAACCTTTGCTCTCTGGGAGAAAGCTGCTGGTGGTTGAATTGTCCTGCCTTCCTCCCGGCCCTGCCACCGGCAGTCCTGCCACCCATTTCCTTGGAAAGGTGGTCCCACCGGCTGAAGCATCAGCCACGTTTAGCAGCATCCTGGACTGGGCTCTCTCTCTCTGCCCCCTGTCACTCCCACGGAATAAGGAAATAGCCCATATGTTTTGCCCCCAGTTCTGCTATTGGGAACCCAGACGGAGGCAACACACCTGCTCAGGCCTCTCCCAGTGTCCAGCCTGTAGCGCCCACCTTGTGAGAGCTAAGAGCCCACTCCACCTCCCCCAGCCTGAGAGCCAAGACACAGGTACCAGGCCCTCGCCGATCCCTATACTCTGCCCACAGCTTCCCCACAGCTCTGCCATCAGCTCCTGTCCCCACTGCTCCTGCTTCCTGCCCACCTTCCATTTCCCGACACTTTCACCTCTGAGCCTCAGCAAGCGCTGTTCCCTTTGCAGGCATGCCCTTCCCTGACAGGCAGAATCCTATTCTGTCTGAAAGAATAACCATGGCCATTGGAGAAATAGCAGTTAACAGTAACAGCTCCTGGGTATTGGGGCAGACTGTGGGCAAGGGAACAGGCTGGGTACGCCAGTGAATCTGAATTTCCTCCTGAGGTAGCCGCAGGCAGGAGGCTGGCTCCTGTCCCCATGGCACAGATGGGGAAGGGGAGCCTCAGAGAAGGGAGCCACTGACCAAGGTCACGTGCCAGAGTGGCCAGGCTGGGAGGGCAGAGAAGTGGAGTATATCCCAGCTCCACTGGCTGGCCAACTGCCAACCTGCAAGGCCTAGTGAAGTGTCCCCCGCACCTCAGCGCCTCCCCTGTACCCCACCTGCCCAGAGCAGAGGCCTCAGCTCCCCTGCTCTACAAGGACCTCCCTTGGTTGGAGTCCCTGACGAGAGCAGATGTAATTACTCATGTCGGAGTCTGACACGAACCCTCCCCGACCATGGGCTCATCAGGCCAAGGTCTGCTCTGACTCAACTGTGGGCCCAGGAGGCCTCAGGGGCAGCTACTCCCGTGGTAAGGGAGGCACTGACAGCCGCATGTCCCCCTCATCGGCTGGGCCAGGCTGGGTTCCAGCAGGAGGCCTCAGGGGAAGCGGGTGACTGGCTGCCCTCTTGGCTGCATGCTTAGGCTCCGGGCCAGGGGCTGCTCCCTCCCGTTACATCATTGTGCTTTTGGTCACACCACCGCCTGTCTCCCTGGACCCTCTGCTGCTACTGTGGAGCTGGGGGCCACTTGATGACGTGTGCTTAGAGCCTGGTCAGTCCCTGTCTGAGCTCAGACAGGGACTGCACATTTCACACGCTCCACTCTGCTGACAAGTGGGGCAGATGGCCAGGCTTGGCTCTGGGCAGTGTCACCTCCCCACCTCCAAGGTCTCCCGGAGCCTCCCGAGTCCAGCCAGTGGCTGTGGGAGGACCAGGAGGGTCTGTACACACATGTCACTTAATCTTCACGAGGCATGGCCATTGTGATTCCTCTTGGACAGAGGAGGAACTGACGCTTCCAGAAAGGCACCTGTCAAGAAGTGGCCACGCTGGGGCCTCGTGACATCCAGACTCCACCAGGTCACAAGCCCCACTCCTACTCAGGGAACACCACCTCCAGACGCCATCGCCACCTCCTTCCATGCCAGGGCTCATCATCCCTCTGACAGGCAGCAAGGATCCCATCCTGCCTATCAGATATTTACATGACGATTCATAACAGTAGCAACATTACAGTTATGAAGTAGCAACGAAAATAATTTTATGGTTGGGTCACAACATGAGGAACTGTATTTAAAGGGCCAGAAGGTTGAGAACCACTGATTCAGAGCCAAGATTCTTGAGGCGGGGTGTGGCAGGCAGTTACATGCGCGTGAGCAGAGCAAGGACGGTGGGCCAGGTACAGAAGGTCACCAGGATGGAAAGCCCTGGGTGCCTCGCAAAGGGCAAGTGTAGGGTGGGACCTCGTCCCCAGGGCGACCTTTCCTCCCTAGCGTATCGCTGCTCCTGCGTTTGGACCCCTGACCTTTCCTCCCTAGAGATACTAGGCTCAGCTGTATTTCAGCTCCAGGCCCAAAAAAGCAGCAAAACTAGACAAGCAGCACCACTGCTGGCCTCAGGACCAGCTGCACTGAATAATGACCCCCTGCCCTGGCACAGGCCAATCAGTGGAGGCCCGGACCCTAAAAGGACACCCCTAGAAAGCTGATGAATATTCTATTGAGATCTTCCCCTGGGACTTTCCCTAAAATCTCCACCCTTAACACCCTTAGGATGGAGGACCAGGGTGCTCTCCCTCCAATCCGGGACCCCTCGGGGGATGTCAGACTGCCAGTAAGTCGGACATCTCTCTCACAATCTGGGAGTGCTGGCTCCTAACTGCTCACCTGCCTGCCTGCCTGATCGCCCCTAACTGCTCCCCTGCTGGCCTGATCATCCCTCACCACCTCTGCCTTGGCCCCCTCCACCGTGGCTTTGTCCGGAAGGATGACCGGAAGATGTCTGGTCAACCGGGTCTAATTAGCATATTACCCTTTTATTAGTATAGATGTGTGTGTGTGTTTATTGATTTTTAGAGAGAGAAGGGAGAGGGCAAGAGAGAGAGAAAGAAACATTGATGAGAGAGAAATATCTATCAGCTGCCTCCTACACGCCCCCTACTGGGGATTGAGCCTGCAACCCAGCATGTACATGGAATGACACTCAACCACTGAGCCACACTGGCCAGGGTGTGAGTCCTGAAGGCTTCTTAGGTCCACCAGCTGTTCTTTAGGAATAACGAGTCTCTGCACACAGTGCTCGTGTAGGATGGCCCCTCCTTGCCCCCTTCTGCATCTGGAAGACATGACTTGGGGCCCAACTGCAAAGTCTCCACCGACTTCTCCATCCTCCCAGGGCCCTGGCTCTCCCTGGCCAGTGGGGGAAGGCCGCAGAAAACCCATGGAAAAGTGACTCATGTGTGTGCGTGTGTGTGTGTGTGTGTGTGTGTGTGTGTGTGTGTTTATTTTCATGGATGCTCCCACAGCCCTCGGTTCATATTGCAGATGCAACATTCAGCAAATTGTACTTCTGTGGCTCGTGGAGTGAGCTCTCTACTTCTGCTCTCACATTGCAACTGCCATAAACGGCTCAGCCTCTCTGCTTAGCTAGGACTTAATCATCTCTGAGCATGTCTGTCCACCCCACAGACTATGGGACCCTCCAGGACAGGGAACCTGGGACTCAGCCCACAATGGGGCTTCAAGAAGACAGGCAATATGGCAAAGTGATCAAGAGAAGGATTTTGGAGCCAGAGCACACTGGAGATTGAGTCTACCATTCCCTGTGTACCCTGGGGCAAGTTCCTTAACCTCTCTGTGCTTATGTCCCCATCTGCAAAAGAGGAAAGGCATTCCAACCTCACAGAGTTGTTGGAAGGAATAAATTGAGATGATGCATGGGGTTTGTTCAGCAAATGCTCCAACAACCTAGGCTACACAACTCAAGGTTCCCTCCTTCAGAAAGCCTTCCCTAACTTTTCCAGGGAAAGTGTGGCCTTTCCCAGAAAGGATCTGAAAGGGCCAGGAGGGACAATCACCCTCTAGCTAAGGAGCCATGGGAGCGGGGGGGCCTCTGGAGGAGATGTGGGTGCCAGACGGGCAGGTTCTGGAGGGGACTTTGGGGGTGGGAGTGTTTTCAGGGCCTCCCTCCTCTGGAGCCCATCTCCCCAAGGCAGAGGTGAATGCTTAAGGAATGGTTATCATCACTGACTAACACTTGCAAATAAGGCACTGGGCCACCGCCCCCAGGGGTGGAAATCAGGAGGCGCTGAATAATCCAGATGCAGCCTGGCTCACCGAGCACAGTCTTCCAGCTGGTCCTCTCCCACCCTCCACCAGGCCCGGCAGGGAAGCCCCAGCCAGCCTCGCTGCCCTTTGGGCTCACTCCAGATGTGAGGTCACTCCCAGAAACGCCTGGGGTGAGGTGCTAGCAACCACTCCACCCTGGCTGCTCAAGGCCAGCCCATGCTGGGAAGATTCAAGGAAAGAG